AAAATTTTAAATACAAAAGTTATATACTGCAATTTTAAGTCTGAAAAGTAATTAATTCAGACTTGAAAGCTCTTGAAACATAGAACTTGAGCTCAAAACAATAAGATAGAATTTTGCATTCATTTTTTTTAATTATACCGATTGTTGCTTCATTGATAACAATGTTATAAATAGTTCATTTAGAATTACACTACAATTGCTGCATTAGAATCCATATTTCTTACTAATTATTTAAACATGAAAAATGAGAACTATAATATTTATATGTACTTTTTAATCTCCAAAGTCATAATAAAGTTTTCTCATAAATAGGAAGCCGCATTGACTGTTTTCAACAGTTTTCACCTCTTCGTCAAGAAACATTTCTTTTACGGTCCTAATTAAAAATTACAGAACAGCAGAACATAATCTATCTCACGAAATTTGCTAAAACAAATTCTTTCGCATTAATTTTGAATTTTATTTAACTCAAATTTATTCAATATTTCGAGTTCTGGATAATCAAATTAGCGGTATCATTCTAAAGCTGCAAAATGTAATTAAGAAGCTCAGCTTCGTTTTTAATGATTCATTTTACCACGCCACTGGGGAAAAAAAAAAATATCTGAGTTTTCAGATTTTCAATTACGTCCAAAGGGCGTTTTTTTAACATTTTGTGTGTTACCTTTATTTATTAAATATCATGTTCTTTGCACTTAAACCATAAAATTCAATTCAGTAGCAATGCCGCAGCATATCTTTAGAATTTCCCATACACACTTCCGCGCGCTGGAGACAAAAAGGTTTTTCCCAGCCGTAGTGTGTTGCCATTGCTCCCTTTTAAATCGCTGAGTTTGTTACTCAAAAATTCGTTAAAGTTTTGCAAAATATAAAATCGATAATAAATCAAATTCCAAATTTCAAATTTGGTCTTCCACATGCCCATATTCGTAGGAGGATTACGTCATTCAAAATTCGATGGCTCTATGTACCGTTGTTTTATCACAATGCGAGAAATATACATACATTTATGCAGATTTTTCATTATTTAAAGGAAAATCTGAAAGCTTTCATATTTCATATTGCGCCCAAAAGGATTTTTTTTTAACGTTTTGTGTGGTACCTTTATTTATTAAATATAATGTTACTTCGCACTTTAACATAAAATTCAATTCCACAGCAATATCACAAAATATTTAAAAAGCGCAAAATTTAAGAATTTCCAATACACAGTTTCGGGCGCTGGAGATACATTTCTTTTTTCGTAAAGTGTTCCCGTTGCACGCTTTTAAATCGATGAGTTTGTTAATTAAAAAATTCGTTAAAGTGTTGCAAAATTAGGAATAGCTAATAAAACAAATTCCAAATTCGGAATTTCAAGTGCTCATGTTTGGTTGGAGTACTGCGTTATTCAAAATTGGATGGCTCTAGGTACTGTTGTTTTCTGAAAATGCGGAAACATTCATGCATTCATGCAGAATCTTCATTATTTAGTTTCTTTAAATATAATGCATGGCAATAATATTTTGTAGCAACAGTTTGAAAAGTGAATCAACGCAGAAAGTGAAACCACGCAAAATGTCGTTTCGAGACTAATAGCCCTTTGGGTCTAATGCCCCTTTGGGCTTAAAAAAAAATAAATGTTAGATTATCAAGTTAAAAGTCAGAAATAACAACATTTAACCGATAAGAATGTCAGAACTCTTTACTACCTCGCTCGAAAAATGCAATTTTGAATAAAATGATAATTTTGCTTCTTTATTAAATTATTCTTATAACAGGGCTTGCATGAATGGATTATATTCTACTATAAGAAATTTTTTTATACCAATAAATTGCCACAGTTAGAGACAGAAAGTACAGTAAACCCTTTCTAAGATGACCACAGGTTCATAAGATTTTGGGCTTTTGCGAATTAGAGAAATAGCTCTCAGCACCGATGTCCAAGTTCTCAGAAATACTGATCATCATAGGAAGATAATCACCAGAAGAAAGTTCACTGTTCACATTCGGAAGTGCATTATTCTATAAATGAAAGTACATTAAGCAAATTCGAGTGCGTGTATGGCCGTATCTATTTATATATAGGAAAAATTTTAATATAAAATAAATATAGTGTAAAATATATGTTACCGTTAAAGCGTATAATTAAGTTATTTCCTCGAAAAAGTAAGTATTTGGCGGGGGGTGGGCAAAACTAGCCAAGCCGGTTTAGCTAATTATTTTAAAATAACTATATTAATTAATATAGAATATAATATTCTGTAAACTAACCAATGATAAATGCCGCTCAGACGGTGTAGTGGTTAGGGGAGCCAACTTCGATACCTAACGGCTTGGGTTCGAATTCAGGGGAATGCATAGTTCTAGTGGTCCGTCCCTTCATATGAGGCAAAGGTGGCCCACCTATTAGGTGACTGCATAATAAAGTGACAACTGCTTCTGGTCAAGTCGAAGTCAGCTGAGGGACCATCATTCATATTTAAAAAAAAAAAAAAAAAAAAAAAAAAAATTAATAACAAACAAAAAAAATCTCAAAGGTTTCAGATTTTAAACTACGTCCAAAAAGGGCGTTTTTTTTAACGTTTTGTGTGCTACCTTTATTTATTAAATATAAATATTCTTTGCACTCAAACCATAAAATTCATTTAAATAGCAATATCGCAAAAGAATTTTAAAAAAGCATATCTTTAGAAGAATTTCCGATACACAGTTCCGCGCGCTGGAGATAATTTTTTCTTTTCGTATAGTGTTGCCATTCCTCGCTTTTAAATCGTTGAGTTTGTTAATCAAAAATTCGTTAAAGTTTTACAAAATATGAAATAGATAATAAAACAAATTTCAAATTTGGGCTTCCAGATGCCCATATTCGCAGGAGGATTACGTCATTCAAAATTCGATGGCTCTATGTACCGTTGTTTTTATCACAATGCGAGAAATATGCATATATTTATGCACATTTTTCATTATTTAATTTCTTCGAATATAATGCAGGACTCTAACATTTGGTGGCAACAGTTTTGAAAAGTGATTCGCCGTTTATAGTGATTCAACGCAAAATCGCAAAACGAAAAGAATAGTCCTCCAGGGATCAAAGCCCTCTTTGGACTAAAAAAACTAATGATAAACCGTTAAAGTGGGAAAAAAATGACACTATAAAATATCTGTCGTTTTATAAATTAACTGATGATAAACCGTTAGTGTTTAGAAAATTTATATTTCATATTACGGATAGATTAAATAATAACGGAATGCATAATATAATATTATTGCTAGATTTCGTTAAACCGTCATAAAAAAATAACAGACTATACTACGCCAATAGTTCTGTTTAAATTTTACAGCTTATCAAATTATTAAGCTATTTAATGCTGCAAACAAGCAGCTTTCGCGTGCCGTCTTTACTGACAATTCGTCATTTATCAACACTTTAATGTGAACAAGCTGTTAGCTTCCAGTTAGGGATGGATGAAATTTAGTTTTAAAGACCGGCAATCATTATTAAACAGAGAAACATTTGCTCCCCGTGAATTCTTTCCTTCCGGGTGAGGTGGGTCGGTTTCTTTAAGGAAACGGGTGAAGCAAACCACGGGGGAGAACATACGATTTTCCCGCAGGCAAGTTGGAAAACCCTGCTATCGAAATGACCTTGCTCAGCTGCAGCCAGCTCAACGTCTTACCCTTAAAACCTTCCTCAAGAGAGCCCGCTATAACCCTGCCCGTTTGGCAGGTTTCCCCATTTCCAATCGGCGACATTATTTGGCGAGATTTTAGAGTTCCTTTTTTTTTCGTTCCTTATTTTCCGAGTGACATTTTTTCCGTTCCTTATTTTCCGGGGACATTCTTTCCGATTCCCTTTTTTCCGGGTGGCATTTTTTCCGCACACCATTTTATTGTTATCATTCATAATGGTTCTATGAGTAGAACTACAATTATGAAGTTAAACAGGCATCCTATGTAGTCATTTTTAACATTAAACTGTTAACAGAAATAAACAGGCTATGCATTTTGATCATGGCCAACATTTTGATACCATGACGTAATTTTTGGATGCAAAGACATTGACTGATTTATACAATCATTCGAAATAAAAATCCCTAGTTACAAACCCATGTTATAATTTATATAACACCAAGTTTTCCTCCAACACAAATTTTTAAGGCAAAGCATATTTATTTGCGTTCTATCTGATTATATATAATACCCTATATATATAGATATCACATTATTATATTAGTACATCTTTTTTTAATATTTATACTAATTCAATATCTTTCCATTGCAGAATGCACCAGATAAAAAGGTGCATTTTGTCTTTCGAATGCTCTTCTTTTCTCACCAGCGATATTCGAAATATGATTTGGTTTAGAATAGGCAGATTTATAGACGACAAAGAGTCAGTCATCAGCATTAAAAACTGAACATGCTAATTAAAAGTTTCTCTTTCAGTCGGATGACCTCAAAACTAAACTTGATCAGCACAATGCCAAATTGGCGAAAAACGTCGCCAATCTGGAGTAATTCCAGTGGCAGGGACAGACGGCGGTCATAGAAGCGGTGGATCATACTGCGCATGCTCGCGGCATCATGACCTGCTTGTTCAATATGCCATGCGAATTCTGGAGTTGAATTTGAAGGAGTTGATCTACTTCGCGTTCTTCCTTTCTTTGCTTTTCAGTAAATTACCGGAGGGATAAAAATTAATTTTTAGTAAAATTGAAGAAATGTTTCAAATAACAGTGATAAAGATAATATTACACATTTACTTTTGTATTTTAGTCAACATAGCAATAGTTTTGGGGATTTCAGTTTCTAATGAATTTTATATTAGTTTAGAAATGTTAGGTATAATAAACAGACTAAGGATTTATAAATTATTTTTATATAATAATAAAAATTTTCTTTTATATAAGAATTTTGTTGATTTTGCATCCAAAATATATAAAGGCTTGGCATATAGCGTCAAATCTTTCTTTAACTTTAGCATTTACCAATTGGCAACATAACTTAAACCGGCAACGCCATTTATCTCTTTTGCTGTGTCGCGTAACGGAGAAGCTGTGCCATTTTGCTTGTGTGAAAAGTGTATCTACTGTAATTGCATTCGACTTGAGTAAATTTTCCTCATATATTTAACATGTCTGAAAATAAGAGTGAACCCGAGCAATTTCGTAAACTTTTCATTGGTGGTTTGAACTATAAATCAACTGAAGAGTCATTAAAATCTCACTTTGAACAATGGGGTGAGATTGTGGATTGCGTTGTGATGCGAGATCCTCATACAAGAAAGTCAAGAGGGTTCGGTTTCATTACATATAAGCGAGCTCATATGGTTGACGATGCTCAAGCAGCCAGACCGCATAAAATTGATGGACGAGAAGTGGAGCCGAAGCGTGCTGTACCACGTGAAGATTCTGGTAAGCCTGAAGCCCAGGTAACTGTGAACAAGTTGTACGTTAGTGGAATTAAAGATGATATAGGTGAAGATGATCTCCGAGAATATTTTGGCCCGTACGGAAATATTGTGAGTGTAAATGTTGTGACAGATAAAGCTACAGGAAAGAAAAGAGGTTTCGCGTTTGTTGAATTTGATGACTACGATCCCGTTGACAAAATTGTTCTTCAGCGCCACAACTACAAAGGTAGAAGATTAGAAGTTAAAAAGGCATTATCTCGTGAAGAAATGGGTAACTTAAAAATGAAGAAGGAATTGGGTGGATTTGGTGGAAGAGGCAGAGGTGGTGGAAATCAAGGAAGAGGCGAATGGCGTACTGCCGATGAATTTGACCGTGGTGGCTATGGTGGTGGATACGGAGGAGGCTACGGAGATGGTTATGGCAGTGGATATGGAAGTGGCGGTGGCGGCGGTGCATGGAATGATGGTGCAGGATATGGTAATAATTATTCTAGTGGTGGAGGCTGGGGTGGCGATTTTGGGTCCAGTTATGGTGGTGGACCCATGAGAGGCAGTGGTGGATATACCCAACGCAGTCAAGGACCATATGGAGGTGGTGGACGAGGCTCTGGAGGTTATGGACGACGATAAACATGAACATATTCACAAAAGAACTTTTCATACTATCATGTCTGTCTTCACTTAACATTTTTGTGTACCGACTTTTTTACCTGACACTATCGTTTTAGCTCGAGTATACATTAATATCCAAATAATTATCATTGTACCTTTTTTTTAAGTAATCAGTGATGCTGAATTGCATGGTGAAATAAATTTTTAAGAACAAATTTGTTCATATGTTCTTGTTGACAACATATTTTGAAGATGTTTGATTAGTAATAGCCTTGCATAATCAAGAATTTTTCTCTAAAATTAATTAAATAATCGGTTTGCATTTAGCAAGTGTATTATATGTAATTTAGTAGCAGTCCTCTTCTAAATTTCACTAACATGTGTTAAGTCTCTTTTAAATATTCTGTTACATTGGATGGTTTAATATTCAGTCTCATTAGAAACTTTTTAATTAGATATTTTCTACTGCATTTAATGTTCATATTGAGCATATTAGTTGCAAAACCAAATTTTAAAGTAGTTTGTATTTATTGTAAAATATGTAAGTGTATTGGTATGAATGTAACGCAAAATGCAGCTTTTGAGGTTCCGATATACTCTGTACATGAAAGTCAGTTTTAGGTTAAGTATCGTAGCTTTGGACAAAGTTGAATGTAAGTAGGTTTTATTCTTATCTGTAAATTTCAGCATTCGTATAAATTTTGAAAAATCAAATGTTACATTTTCTTTCTGAAGTAAATGGGTAATGCAAGATTAAAGTTGGTGATATTTGTTATCTGAAATGTTCTGTTGTCAGGAGTTACATTTTGAATTCAGCTTTTATTTTTGCTCATCTATGCAGGTTAACATTGTACGTAATTGATGTTTATCATGTAGTGTATCAAGTAGAATGCATTTCATTAAGTTTTTGTGTAATGTTTAGTGCAATTTGAAAGCTGTGCACTGCAAATATTTTAATTTTTCAAAAGAAAAAAATGCTAGTGAATATTATTTGTTTTATAACCACATAAATATTTCATCACCTAAACGAAACTACTATTTATTGTGTAATGACAACTGTTAATGAAACAGTTTTTAAATAAATTACCCAAAATTCATATATTACATTGTTCTGAAATTTTTTTTAATAACAGTTTTTTGAAATTCCAAATGATTCAACTTTGTAGTAGAAATAATTTTTGAAGAGAGTTACATTTTAAGAAAAAATTTATACAAGTTACATTGTCAGATAACAAAGTTGGTAGTTACCATCACATATTAAAAAAGATTGTTCTGAATCTATGAACTATAAGCTTGAAATAGTGTATATTGTAGTTTATACAATGTTAAATAATTAAGTGTTGGAAGATACTAAATTATTACAGAAATAGAACTTCCATAATCACATTGTGCATAACTGTTATTCTGGTTTGTCTTACCTCATTGTACTGAAGTACTCAGAAATAATTATGCTCACCATTGCTTAGTAATGTTAAACATTGAGGTATTTATTGGAAGGTTTTTATATTAGCCATTTAAATAGATCATAGCTTTTCATAATAAAATATGCTGTTTGATTAAAAGCCATTTTCGTCAGGGAATAAACTGAAATTTTTCCTACATTAAGAAATAATTATTAAACATTATAATGAAATTAGATTATGGTATCAATATGTAATTAAAAATTATGGGGACATATATTCAGTAATAAATTTTATTTCTCTTTATAAATCAGACCAAATAATTACAAATTACGGAACAGCTTTAGTATTTGTCCTTTTGGCAATTTTTTTATTTGGCGACAAACTTCGGTCGCCAAGGTAGACCCGGTTTTGAAGATCGGAAAAAAATGGCGGATTGTCAACAAAACCCGATCTAGACTAAATAACAATCCTAAAAAATAAGCTCTTAATCAGAATAAACAGTCTTTCTCTAATTTTCAATATTTCAAGTACTGCTATCATAAATTCTTGAAACACTACTGTAAATGAATTTATGACAATTATTATGTTACGAGTAATGAAATTTACAAAATGTTAATATTTTTAATTACAAAATATAATGTATTAAACTTAATATTTTAAGTAGTTAGTTTCATATTTATATTTTTATTATATTAGTACTTGGCTAATATTTTAAATTTACAAAAGGTTAATTTTTATGTTTATGAATAATGAAATTTACAAAAGGTTAAAAAATGCATTTCAAACTAGTATATGTTACTTTAGTTTTCTTAGATGCCTGTTATTAAAAGAAAATAAAAAATATTCAAACTGAAGGAAATCAAATTCAATTATAATGGGCAAGTTTTGTACCAGTGTTAGAAATATTTTTTATGATTAAATTTGTAAATGGTAAAATATTAAGAAGTGTGTATTTTTAATCCCTCAATTTATTACAAGTAATTTATGATTATAATTTAAAAGCTAAAATTAAATTATCATAATGAGTAAATTTTGTGTACCAGTGGTAATAATACAACATCATCGTAAATGATAATTTCTGTGAAAAATTCGAACAGTCATTGGAATCCACTAGTGGTGGAGTGATAGCCACTGAACAGTGGTAGTTCAGGCTGGCTATATGGGAGTTTTAGTAGTTTTCCGTAGATGATGTAATGTAAATCTGAGCCAGTTTCTCTTAAAAGTACTTTATGAAGACATCCTCCTTCTGCTAGCCAGCATATGTAATTTATTTTCTATTATAATCTTCTCTCTTATTTTTCTTATTTCTTAATTCTAAATCTTACTTCTGAAGAGAAAGAAGTGTTTGCATCTATAGGTCGTCGAAAATATGGTCAATATGTTTGCAAAATCCTGTCAGTTTTTGGAAAGCATTTAAATAAAATAAAACAAATGCATTACACTTATTTCATGTACTGAATAATTAATGAGAGAACAAAGTATATTGTAACGTTCCTTTATTTTGTAACCAGAGTTATTTTATGCTTGGGATCTTTACTGTCAATTTCCTCCATCCGTTTTTCTCACCAGAATCCAAATGAAGTTTTTTATTTTGTAAACAAACCGTGTTTTGCCTTTTGAGGCCACATTAATAGGTTGCTAGATAAGAAAAAGATTTGTAGTCTTCAGCCTTGCATTATAATTGCTGATAGTTGAATTCCATGCCAGTTAAGTTTTTAACGAACTTTGCATTAAATTGATTTGTGCAGCCTTTGGGCTACAAATTTATTTGAATTTAAATTTTACATTTGAACTTAATTGTTATCATGCCACAAGTGGTTGACTGAGTCGTAAGCACAAAGTATGCCTTCTGTTCTGTACATCTAAACTTTATAATAGAATAAAAGTATATCTTAACTTAATAAGAATATATCTAAACTTTATGATAATAACATTTAAAGACATTGAAATCAGTATCTAAGTGTTTCCCATGTAGTAAAAATTTTATATATAAATTGTACTCTTACTTTTATTATAGAGTTATTACAAAAAATTCAGATTTCTGTTAGATAAAATGTTTAAGTAATGTAGAAAATTTGCATAAAATTTAAAATAAAAAGTCAACTGTTATGTCAACATACTATTAATAAAAGTAATAATACTCAGTGAAGGTTATTCACATACAGCTGTTAGGTTGTAAGATTTACAAAATTTGAGAACTCTAAATTATAAGCAATATATTAAATAATCTAAGCAACATTATATTTTTTATAGTCAGACAAATTATGAAAATGTTATAAAAGCAATAATGAAACCTGATTTTGGTCTTGATTTGAACCTATGAATTCATGCAATTACACATTCCTTTAGTTCTAATATGAGGTAAATAAGTATTTTTAGACCATGGTAGGCTTTTTTTTAAAAAAATTTTAAATGTTGTGCTTTCCTAACACAAAAGTAACTTTAAGAAAAACACACAATTTATCTTTCCTGCCATCAAAGCTCTGATACCTATCAAATTCGTTAAAGTTACGTGGACAGAAATGGCGGCATGTTTGAAGCTCAGTATTTAGGGTTACCAAGGTTATAATAATTTTTCATTTATCGCTCCAAAATGTCGCCAAAAAGGACTAATACTAAAGCTGTGCCATTTACCTAACTGGATGCCCCGATAGATAGATAACTCTAGGTGTATATTGTAAGCTTAAATTTAAATAAATATACATTATACAAAATTGGGAAGCACTTCCGCAGAGAACCCGGTAAATGTGAACATCGCCAATGTTCGCGATAATAGTTCAAACCTGGTAACCTCGTTAATTCATCCTATTTGCTTATGCGAAGGTTGTCGTCGTTCGCATTTGGAGATTTATATTATTTTTTCTGAATTTTTTAACAAGGAATAGATAGAAATATTTTCGCATAATTAAAGAAGTTTTTGTCAAAAGATGCCGGTTCTTGGGTCATCAGTTCGTGATCAAAGGAAGAAATTATGGCAGGAGGGGTGAATGCTAATTTGTAGCATGGCTGTTCATGTTATGTTCTTAATTATTAACAGCTGTAAGCACGCAGAACCATGAGGTTTTCAACCCCTATAATAATTTTAAAAGTATAAAGTTCTAGTTTTATTAAAAATGCTACTGAAAAAAATTTGATTACTGTCGAAGGTTATTTGTATTGTGAAATATATTATGAAAAAGGGTAGGTATTTGTTTCAACGTAAAATGCTTTAAGCTGTATGCAAGTAACTTGAAAAAAAAAAAAAAAAAAACTTAAAACTATGTAAAATGGATATATTAAAGGTCATGCATTCATTAATTTATTACATGGGCATGGCTCTTACCGAAATACATCAATCAACAGGCAAAGTACTTAATAGTGAAAAAAGACACTTGTAATAGAAATATTAGTATTCTATATGAATTAGAGAAAATACATATAAGTATATTGTAAACGTAAGTATAAGAATAGTAATTGTTATTTTTTAAATGAATTTTTACTTCCCGTTATGTTTGATACATTGTTTTCTGTGCTAACTTGAATTTAATACAAATTTATTTTCGTATATCACGTTTAACTGTTAGTTTTACATCTACATACTTATTATCTGTGAATTTTTACTATCACTGTCTGCTAACTTAAATTTATATCACTAAAAACCACGTTTACAAAATATCACGCTTAGGGCTCGGCTCATCGTTGGCGAGTAAAACTGCAACAGTGCCAAAGGGTTCTCTGCGGATGAAACCCCTAAAATTGATTAAAATGATAAATCCAAAGTTAAAATTGAAACAAAAAACAGGGAAATAAGGTACTCTTATGTTATATGGACTGGATTCAGAAGTGTATGTGTGTATATGTTACCGTGAAAGACCGAAATTGGAGAATGTCAACATTCACCAAATACGTCGATGAAAGATCGAATATTGCATTACGTTCGGTCCTTGACTGGTGTATGTCGACAATCACAGATATGCTCTGGTGTAGGTTGAAAAGAGAGGAGTATATGTACATGCTGTCAATTGAAAAAGAAAGTATTCCACAAATAAATGCAGTTGTAAAAACAAGGGGTTCTTGTGCAATTCAAAGTGTCGTAATAGTTTTTAAGTTGTTGCAATAAATAAGATTTGAATCATATAATTTAGTGAGTTCTCGACTTCTGTTATTTTCCTTTCTCATTTTGAATGTACCGTGTTTTTTTTGCAACTGAGTTGCGGAGAAGAAAATATAATATTTTTATATGTTCAACATTCACCATTAGTACATGGTGAATGTCGACATTTACCGGTGTAAGTCAGAAATAAGAGTATTCGGAAAATATTTTGGACATACACCAAGCAACATTCTCCAGATTTCGGTGTTACACCGTAACATATACTGTATGCTCATACATACATTTCTGAATCTGGTCCTGATAACAACAGTCCTGAAAATAATTAAATGCTTGAAGTGTGACCCAAGAAAGGAAAGCACTTCTGCAAAGAACCCAGTAAATGTAAGCTCAGTGAACAGTGACGATAATTTAACCTAGGGAATCCAGCAGATTTACTAATTGAGATAGCAACCATTAATCTTTATTGTTAAGGCATCATGCTCATTGTTCGTCTCTGCACATGTAATTTATTCTTCACTTATTTATTATTTTGTCTGATTTTTAAGTCATCTTTTATGAATTTTTTAACAATGAATATATGGAAGTATTTTTGTGTAATTAAGGAAGTT